CTTCTTTCCCGTATCTGCTCGCGACTGGTCGGTGATGGAGCAGGTGGTGCTGGAGTATGATGGGCAGAGGGCCATCTTTAACGCCAGTGGTGGGATCTACTCTCCTGCAGAGTATTCTTTCCATTGCCAGAGCGTGAGCAGCACTCAGAGCCCCCTGCTGGTGCCCCGCAGTGCTACAGACAATGCTACCATGTGGACGCTGTCCTTCACTGATTTGCAGGTACTATATCAGCGCGCTGTTTCGGACTGGTAGTGTTAAACGAAACTCATATACAGTATACCACAAAAACTCCACATTGATGCATCATGTTTCCCACAGATCCAAGGCTTCAGCGTTACTGGTGAAGACTTCTCGTATGCCAGCGATTGTGCAGGATTCTTCACTCCGGGGATTTGGATGGGCCTGCTGACCTCTCTGCTCATGGTCTTCATTCTTACCTATGGCCTGCACATGATCATGCAGGTTCGCACCATGGACCGCTTTGATGATCCAAAAGGCCCAGCGATTTCAGTGCCTCAGAGTGAGTGATTTGAGCCGAAAACAACCAAAAACTGTCATGTTGTCAAAATATCATTGATTTGTATGTATGTGCAAACTGATGTGGTTGGTAATCAGGAATTTATGGATCTAGCATGAGTGTTTTTAAGAGTATGTATATTCAAAGGCAAACCATATTTTTCAAATTTATTTTGATGTCTTGTAGAAAGTGAAATTATTTTCATCTCTCCCTTATTAAATGTGTAATTATTTAATATTTTACAATAGGGTTCTATACATTACATGCACTAGCTAACATGGAACAGTGAGCGATTCCTTTAAAGCATTTTTAATATAAATATATATATATACATGTCATATACACATATATATGAAGGAACATGGGTTACCACTGAATATTATATGTATTTTGTATTTGTAAATTAACATTGGTCTAGATCAGGGGTGGCGAACGTCGGTCCTGGAGAGCTGCAGCCCTGCAGAGTTTTGCTTCAACCCTAATCAAACACACCTGAACAAGCTAATCAAGGTCTGAACAGTTACTAGGAAGCTACAGGCAGGTGAGTTTTCATTAGGGCTGGAGCTGAACTCTGCAGGGCTGCGGCTCTCCAGGACCGGAGTTCGCCACCGCTGGTCTAGATTAATAAATGCTGCAAAAAGTTGTTCATGATACCTAATGCATTAAATTGAACTTACACATTTCAGTACCCATACAGTGCACATGCATGTTTCTCTGTCTACTGGTAAACTAGACAGACTTATGAATGCAATAACGTTTTTGACACGTTTTGCATTAGAACATCTTGTGCTGTTGTACTGGATTTGTATGTTTGTGTAGTTGTACATTTAAAAGTTGCCAATATTTAATTATGCCAAATGTACCATTTAAGTGCCTAAGATGGACCAGTCACTGCATGGAGAATGAAAAGTGCTAAATTAAAATGCAAATTAAGCTAACTTATGATTGATTGGTTATTAGACTAATAAAAGTGCCAAAATTACCTAGCATTCATGTGTTTTTAATGGATAAAATGTTTTAATTAATTTGAGATGCCCAAAATTGTGTAAAAATACAAAGATTGTTTTATAGGAGACGTAAATCTGTTTATAAATGCAGTATAAATTTTGCTGTTGGCTGTGCAACTTGACGTAATGTTAATTGGAGTGACTATATTTGTTAAAAAGCTCATTGGAGCAAAATTGTCCATTCAAAATATGCCATGTGCAGTAGGATTCATGTTGTGTTATTTTACAATGTGTTTTGTTGGGCATTGTCGTTAAACATACATTGTATATTCTATTGATTCAAACAAGCAGTTCATGTCACTAGATTTGCAATCAGAGCAGTGCATTGCAATCATGTTACAAACATCCATTTTTCTATTTGAATGATTAAACTACAACTAAATATCTCAACTGATTGCTCCTTGTAACAATGCTTTTAGGGGAAATGCAACATGGTTTATTGGCAGCCTTGTGATACAGAAAGCAGCTGTACTGGTTGACTATGAAATGTATCTACTGATGGAGCTACTGGTCTTGCAAATTCAAATTTTACAACATCAGACTTTGTCAAACAGAATCAATGCTTAAGTCTGCAATATCTAAGAACTAAAATAAAATGAACAAATGGAAACCTTTATCAGTTAAGAACCCAAGTGTTCTGCTTTGGTTGGGGAGCTTTATTTTGAGACTTTCCAGGCACGCAGACGTCTCAGTCAAATACAGAAGTTCAAGAAGTGGATTTATATTTGATCAACCTTGGTGATTTCCAGAATTAGCACTGTCGCGGAATCATGCCAGTGCATTCCTAGTTTAAAATGGCACAAAAAACTAGTGGTTCAAAACAACACGTAATTGCTGCAATACAACAATGATACATCTTTGAAATTGCAAGCTAAAAAAACAATTAAACCGTAAAATTAAACACACAAACTAAATTAAATTACCGGTACTTTTTGACCAATTTAACAAAAATGGCTGAAAATATTAGCTGAACTAAACTAGACCATTTTACATGACCGCAATTTGGCAAGAGCAAGCTAAGATAGTATAAATGATTGAAATTAGCAAACTTTTCCAAACGGGTGAAAAAAACAATGCCCAATAACAAAAAGCAATTAGGCCTCTGTAGGTATTTGGGCTTAAATACGTAGAAAAAAATCTGTAAATATTAATAAAATAGACAAAAGTAAAATTGTCTTTTGTTCATTAGATCCAAGTCTGTAATTGACCAATAGCAAAGCATTTCTAATGTAATTAGAACCTATACAAATCCTGCTCAACACGTACAGCTACACTGTAAAAAATAATCCGTAAAATTTACGGTAAAAAACTGGCAGTTGTGGTTGCCGGAATTTTACCGTAATAAATATGGTAGCAACATTTTAGGATTTAAATACTGTAATTTCATTAACTGATTCAATGTTAATATATCAACCTATTGAAGTACTGAAATCTGTTTTGTACCTTTGTAAAACACTGATAACCACCAAATGCAGGTGGTGATGAGAAAGTCACATGATGAACCAAAGCCCATCACAAGCCGCTTTTAAATAATAACATATATAGAAGGTGCACAGTGTCATTCACACAAACACCAAACACCATCATGGTAACACACATGAAACTGAAATAATGCAATAAACATTTAACAACATTAGGTGTAACACACAACCCTAATATACAAAACTGATGAGACAAAACTAAGAAGAAACAGTTATTTAAACAAAAAAACATCAAATTTGAAATGTAATGCAGGGAATTCTGGGAATGTCAATTTACGGTTATTCACTGTAAATTATACAGTCTTATTCACTTCCAAAAACTGTATACTACCGTAAAATTAATGTCCAATACATGTAATGTCCAATACAGTTTTTCACTGTATATAGTAGGGGAATTTACCGTTAACCATTTAACAGGATTTTACTGTAGCATTTTTAGTCTTTTAATGTTAAATTCAAGGTAATTTTTTACAGTGTAGATAACCCTTAACGAAAACCGTAGAATGAAAAGGCACTTTAAGTACTTCAGCAGGATTTCGCAGAACTTTCAGTTTAAAATCTGCGCTGAAAATTACATTCTGCAGTGTATCTACTGGAAGGGTAATATACACGTTTTATCCAAATGAAAAGTAACAACAGGCAAAATGAAAACAAAGCCTTGAGCATTGTACAACATTTGGTTTTGTTTGAACAATGTGGATTCCCAAATACTATGAAATAGTTACAAATTCAGACATTCATCTCTTTTAAATTTGATTGACTTTCTACATAAATATTCATGCTAAACGCAGCCCTCGACTAAATCGGTAAGCTAAGGGACAGTCAGTGCACTTTTTTTGTCATGAATCCTTAGATGTTCTCAGGAAGAGTGATCACTGTATTAACAGTGTTAAAAATTAAGAAATGACAAGCATACACTTTATAAACGTGAAATCAACCTTACTTATGTGACGATGACAGATCTGTTTTAGAGTACAGAATGGGAAAAAAGTTAGAGACTGCTAGAAAGGAGTTTTTCTAAATTAAGCTCGTGTTTTTAAAGCAACATTGGTTCTGACTGGAGGAATTTGTTGCGGGAAATCAGTCCGCCTCTTGCCGGGTTCTGGGAAGTGCGTATATATATTTGCAGGATTCTTCACTTGGATTTCATGCAGGACAACTTCATGAAGACCTGTAATTTGAGGTGCAAAATTTACATAAGTCATTCACAAAGAGTAACAGAATAATGCATGCCATTAATTAAGAACAAAGAATGAATTATATAAATGATAACATTCTATATTTTTTTAAAGGTATGAAACCTGGTAAGTCCTAGTTAGCTAGAAGAAAGAATAAGCCGCGTCTTGAAGACACTCGGGGTAGTTGATGAATAAATGACAATAAGCATATGCATGTATGGATATGCTAAATATGTGATGAGGAAGAACCTTCAAAAATCCTAAAGTCTTAACTGACTTTCTTATATTATATCTTATTCTTTCTTACTTTCTGAAATTCTTATATTTTGGGATTGATGGGCTTCTGACATCAGAAATCTGACCGCCCACATTTAAATGGCAATGATGGCTTGTATGATGTTCAGAAACTCTTTTGTGACGTTACAAGGAGGAAGTAGGAGAAGACTTTTTGTCTTCGAGAAAGCTGCATAGTTCCCATGGTCCTTACCAGGTATGTGAGGGAGTTAGAATCCATCCTCATCCTTTTTTTCAACCTTTTCATGGTCTGAGCTGCAATCCAAAAGTACGTTAAAGGTCAGCATGTGCATAGCCTAATAGCTGGGTATATTAAACCTAAATCCAGCACACATTTACAAGACCTCACCCCACTCTTAAACACAGAAAACCCCTCTACCCGGGGGAATAAACAAAACGGCACACTGCTTCCCATACAAACTATCAGCATAAAGTGTTGCAGAAATGAAGAATTTTTCAAGGTTTGAATTTGAATTTTTATGTACAATGAAGCATTTTGTGGTTTGATACATTACTGCATTTATATTTAATCACCTGCTCAAAAAGGTGACTACACTTTGTCAGCATTCTCTGCTGAAAGGGATTTAAACATTTCTTAAATAATCACATAAACAACCAAGATGAATCTCAACATTATGTATTCTGATTTGAAGCAAAAAAGCAGGATACAGAATGCCCATGAAGCAATGTGAATGACATGCCTAAAACAAAAACGATACAACAGATTATAAAAATACATCTGACTGCAAAATATTCAGAAATATGCATCTATCTGTTAATATAAGTACTTTTAAGGTATGTTCCAATCACCTGATGGTGAAAAGAACAGATTTTGAAAAAGTGACCGTCTATAGAGTATTCACAGCCAGGGGCCCTGTGAATAGGATCACAGCTTATTGAGAGGGGTAGCTGGAGGGATACGGACTCAATTATGTCATTTGCAATGCTTCATGGGAGCAGAGGTTTCTTTGAAAGGTGGCGTTCTCTGCAGGATTATGGGTAGTCTAGTTCTACACCAGGAAATAGTCACCACCTGTGCAGCTTTGAGCTGCAATCCAAAAGTCAGCATGTGCATGATAAACAGCTGGTATATTAATCCTAAACCTCAAAGGCATCTCCATTTCCCATGGAAAATGTATGGAAATTTCACCCGAACCTTCGAACGGTTTTGCTAATTATGAATGCAAAGCAGGCACGTGCACAGGTAGGGCTCAACCTGTGCAGAGCACATGCCCTTTTTGTCCTTACACTCCGAAGTGCCCTTTTTTTTGTTGTTCTTCTTCAATAAATCAATGCTATTGGTCACCCTTTACGTCTGTCTGTCTGTTTTACAAATATATTTAGCGAATGAAAGGTATTAAAAAGAGTTTGTGATTAAATCTTGTTGGATCCGCTCAAACGGTCAGTCAAAGCTCATAACTCCGCCCCCCGTCTTGACTGACTGAGTGCAGTGAACTGAAGTTCTACAGCAGAGCAGCTGAACGTCTGGCAAGGGTAAATAAATATCTTCTTGTTTGTGTAAGTACAGCGTTGTCTTTACGCAAGAAACACTAGTATGTCTACTGTATAAAGGCTCATGTTTTATGCATTTGAGGTCTGAGACCGGGTGTAGTGCCGAGATTTGCACCCTGCCAGATTATGCACCTCCTAGTATTGGTAGGTTTAGGGTTAGGTGTGGGGGAGGGGGTAGGAGTAGGGGAGGGGTTAGGATTAGGCAATCAGGTAGTCGACTTCAACGAGGGGGTGCATAATCTAGCAGGGGTGCAGAATTCGGCACAACACCGGACCTGCGGAGAGAGGACATTTGCCATCTAAATTAATCATAGCCAATAGCCTACACTTAAATAGCCTGTGCATACAGTAGCATTTCATCTTTTATAAAATGACATTTTGGCCAAACGTATTTTACAACAGGAAAAACTGAGCGCCAATATAGCTACAACAAACTTTGTAACCCGTTGATCAAAACGTAATGTGATGCTGCCGTTTTAATGATGGACAAGTTGCACATTTGCACACACGTTCGCTGGTCAAAAACCCGGCCATAACTGCATTTGAGTTTGACACAAAGCGACTGAGTGTTCCTCGTCAGCTAGGTAAAATATATTTCTAAGAAAATTCTTCTTTGATTTATGATGGCTATCTGCTGATACACTTAATTTATTAACATTTAATCATATTATATATGGTCACACTCACAGCATGGTTAATGTTTACGCTGTTTTTTTAAATGTTTTTTTGTATTGCTTGAAGAACATAAATATGTTTACGATGTTAATATGCATGTATTTATTAGCTAGGTCTGTGCACGGCCCTGCAAAGTATTAATTTATTACCCAATATGACAGTGTGAGAACAAGAGCCTAGAAAACACATAAGAAGCAACTGAGACAGATAACTTACCGTTTCTTGAAACACTTCAAATACACAAGCCACAGCAATCCAACCCCACCCGCTAAACAGAAAGGAATTGCATTACAAATGATTAACCTTGATTAAAATAAAAAAGGATAAAAAGAATAAAAATCAAATTCTTATTCTAGTAACATCAGAATCCTACATGAAAGCACAACAAAATTTTCTTGAATATTTTACAAATAAAACCGATACTGTGTGACAACTGACAGGGGGATTGGCCAAAAATGAATTCAGTTCCTGTGATGTTGTTAGTGGGAGCATGTTATTTTAAGTGTTCTCAGGCTCTTTCCTGGTTTCGCTAATGGAATGCTACTTGGGTTGTTGGTTGGAACCATTGATCTGTCTAACTAACTGGACTGCTAACGGCTCACTCATATCAGGCAGTGTTCAAGAAGCGTTCAAGTGGCCATACCGCTATCGACAGAAGGCAGCATTGACTGACAGCCAAACCACTGACCTAAAAATCACCTGATTTGCAGTGTATCAGTGGCACAGGATTATTTTTAGTATACATGTATGTAAACTAATTGTTACTTAAGATGTTATCAGGAATGTTTATGGTCTTTTTGGCCAGGATAAGCGATATGTTGAAATTGTTAAGGTGGGTGTGTCTGCTGCACACTACCTGACACAGGTAATTTACCAAACACAAAATGTATTTATGAACGTACACTAAAAAAAACATGAAAAATCTTTTGACTGGTAAAGAAGTCTCTGCTGCTCACCAGGCCTGCATTTATTTGATCCAAAGTACAGCAAAACCAGTAACATTTTGAAATATTTTTACTATTTAAAATAACTGCTTTCTATTTGAATAATTTAAAATGAAATTTATGCCTGTGATTTCAAAGCTGAATTTTTAGCATCACATGATCCTTCAGAAATCATTCTAATATACGGATTTGCTGCTCAAAAAACATTATTATTATTATTATTGCTGAAAACAGCTGAGTAGAATTTGATAAAGTTTCTTTGATGAACAGCATTTATCTGAAACAGAAATCTTTTGTAACATTATAAATGTCTTTATTATCAACTTTGATCAATTTAACGCATCCTTGCTAAATTAAAAAGTATTCATTTTTATAACCTCTAATTTCTACAGAAATTAATTTATGGTTTTTATGCTGTCAGGGGTTAAATGCCCTGAAGGATTTTCAGTTTGTCATCAAGTTCGTTACTCAAGTCTTTTTATTTCTTCACATTTAGTTTTTGCTTTTCTGTCGTTTACTTTTAACACCCAGTCTTTGAAGTGGTCATTTTGTAGCCAAAGCTCTTGAAATTTACATTTTCCTGGCATGTTTGCCTTAGTTAACGGGTACAGCCTGGTGACTGCATTTGACTTAAGTGATTGCCAGTTGACAATAAAATAAAAATAAATCAAAAATACTTGGGTATAAAATGATTGTAGGCGCTGGACACACAACTGGGAAAAAAAAGAAAAGAAAAACATTTTATGTAAAAGAAGAGTATTGATCATTAAATATTTTATTCATTA